TTAATGTATACTCTGTTAATATATGCAATTAATATTAATTTGAATTTATTTAACAACTACAAAGTAAAATAAAAATTTCGATTCTGTACTTAAAATATTAATAATACTTGACAATGATATATTCTTAATAAAAATTTTTTTTTGAAAAATTGTATAAGAAAATTTTTAATTTTGTTACTATGTCAATTTTATAACAAATTAAAATGTTTTTTTGTATAGAGTTACAATCTAATGCGTTCGTCAATGTCTAAATATACTTCCATTTTTCTTTTCTTTAATCTTTAATTCTTTTCTTTATCTTTATGTGTAAAAACTCATTTGTTTTTTATTAAACTAATTCACGTATCATATTTTGATCTTAATTGACACATGTGTAAATTATTTTATTTTTTAATAATTTTAATTGCATCTTACGATACAACTTAATTTTTATGGTATGTCTTTATTTTTATAATTATAATTTTTAAAAACATGAAAGATTTGCTATTGTTTATTAATATTATTACTATTAATATTATTTACTATTAATATTATTATTGATATTATTTTAAAAATTAAATTTTTATGACTTTATTATATTAACAAAAAAAAACAGAAAATAGTACCATCAGATTTCTGGCATCAGATTTCTTAATAATGAAAGCAAGAGGATGTTCGTTGTCTAACTCATGAGGGATTCCTATTACTGTAGCTTCTAACACTGCTGGATGCGACATTAAAACATTTTCGATTTCCGTCGGTGAGACTTGATATCCTTTATATTTTATAAGCTCTTTTATTCTATCGGTAACGAATAATTCTCCATCTTCATCTATATAACCAATATCACCCGAGTGCAACCATCCTAAAAGAATTCCAAGGTTTTTTTCATAAACTCAAGAAGAATTTTATGACATTACGTAAGAAATATTTTTTAGATTTAATGAAATACACGGATTAATTAATTCTTATAATTAAATTTCTTTAACATGACTATATTATTATTAGATAATCAGATAATTATTAGATATAATCTCTATATACCTTCATTATCGATCGTACTTTTTGTCGCCTCAGGATTTTTATAATAACCAGTCATCATGATCGGAGATTTTAACCATATTTCTCCAGATTGATTTGGACCAAGTACTTTCTCACTTTCTGGATCCACGATCTTCATTTGCATATTGTCGACTACCGTTCCACTTGATCCATTTTTGTGATTCGGCAATTGAAACGTTGCGAAAAAGCAAATTTCCGTCATTCCTAAATACATAATATGTAAGTCTGAAAATCTATATCACAAACACATACATCAAATATATATGTTAATAGTTTATGTTTTATAGTATTATTACCGTAACCTTGACATATTCCGACATGTGGTAACATATTTCTCAAATCTTGTTGCATTTTTGGCGTAAGTATTGCACCAGTAACTAATATGTTTTTTAAAGACAATAACGAATAATTCTTTATGTGATTCCCTTTAACAAATCGATTTGTCATGCTTGTACTAAGAAGCAGAGTTCTTATCTAGACAATGAAATTATTTTATACTTATATAATTTCTAATTTACAATTTGTATTTCAGAAATATATAATTTAGTAACAGTAATAATAACATTTTTATCAAGATTTTAAATTGTATTGTATTGTAGTTTGCAGATTACTACCATGTCATAAATTAATGTTTGCATTTATTGAAAATATCAACATTATCAAAATATACGTTGCAATTTATTTCATTAAGTCGAAAACTGTGTGTCGAAAACGTGTAACTACAATACAATTTTGAAAGAAATACTTGTGAAAGTCATCAAGAGTATAATTTTGAGTACAACTTTTCAAAATTTAATAACATTTACAGAAATAAATATTATTATTAAATATTATAATATATTTATTATCAGTTTTATTTTGCTTTTATTTCTATTATTATCGTAAAATATTAGCATACAATTGACGAGCTGGCCAAATTATGTCTAAAACATATCTGTAGCAAATCTCTATATAAACAGATAGAAACACATTTCAATTATTATTTTTTTATATTAAAAAATTTTAAGAATTAAAAATCATTTGTTTTAATTATTTGATAAATAAAGTTTTGTATAAATAAGACAAGAAATTAAAAATCGTTATATAATTACTTCGTATTTTTCAATCAATCGACAAGTCATGTCCTCGTCGAATTCCGGGTAGAGTATTACTTTTGCGTTGTGCACAATCGCATACATGTTCATCATTATTCCACTCATCCAAGAAAGAGGAGAGAACCATAGTGAATTCGACATATTTATACTTGTCTTTCCGCAGCCGATTATCATGCTATAGTTGGATACTTCGATGGCTTTTGGTAATCCCGAAGTGCCTGAGGAGTGTAGAATACACGCCGTTTTTTTGATATCGTCATGTTCTACATAATGAAAATTTGCCACTTCTGCATCAGTGCCAGTCCTCAAGATATCGGAGAATGAAATCGCGTTGATATGTTTGCCAAAAACTACCACCATGGAATTGCAATTTTTCTCTTTTATTGCGCTTAAGACAACATGCACAGATTTCTCGCAACAGAAAATTATTTTTGGCATAATCAGATCCAAATAGTATAGTGTAGTTTCTGTTGACAATGATTTTATTAATAAAGAAGTAAGTATTCATATAGAAAATTATTCTTAATTCATCAGTATTCATCAGATTTATTCTTGATTCATAGTGATTCTTGATTCAGTATAATCAAATGCAATAGAGAAATATGATAATAATTATCGCAGAGGAAACTTACGCAAATCCATATTTTCATCCCATGTATTAAAAATTGTGTTAATATAAGCTGCCGATAGACAGGGTACGATAGAGTTCAAACGATTATTCGTGGACAAAGTAATAATGTCATTAGGTTTGACTCCTTGCTTTAATAAAAATAACGCGCATCTCACGGCTTTATCATGAAGCTCCACATACGTCATTGTTTCTTCCGTGTGCGCATCCAACTAAACAATATTATTATTAAAGAGTTCCAAAATCGCAAGGAATTAATTATTTTACTTATTAATTTTGCAATTAAAGAAAAATTTCGTAATTTTAGATTCAAATTCAATTTTTACTAAAATTGAATATAAGCTTTGTTTAATTAATTTATAATTAGTTCTTAAAATATTTTGTTAAAATTTGTTGTTTTTTTAATTTTTTATAACATTTAATGAAATGCGTTTTTTCGTTTGCTACAAATGTTATAATTTATCAAACTATTTTTTGCATAAACAAATAAAATATGTTCATCTTAGAGAATATATGTTTGTTATAATAAATTTTATATAATTCAGCATATCACATAGATTGATAAAAAAGCAATATAACAGATTCTGATTATTTCAATTTTTATCATCTCAACATCTTAATTATTTTTCTTGATTTTTTAATATATTTTGTTAAATCTTTCTTATACAGGCTTTCAGTTTTAAATATTTATATATTTTTTTAGAAAACTATATACTGACATTGTGTATCTAGACATTCTGTAACTTACATAAGCAACTTTATCTCCATGTTTTTTAAGACTGCTCCAAATTAAGTTTCCAAAACTTTTGTAATTGTCTAAATGAGATTCAAATGTTACTTTTCCCTTGTAAACGCCATTGTCCACAATAAAATTCTAAGAGTAACATATAAGTTTTATTTTAATTTGTTATCTAATTATCTAATTTTGCGTCTTGTGTCTTTAATTTATATATTTCATGTTAATCATATGTCTATGACTTTTTTAACGTTTTATGTAGAAAGACAGCTATGCGTGTCTACTTAGTTACTTGCCTTTGAAACCTCATTAACCATTTTGCCAAAAATATTTGGAATACAGTGTCTGATATCCTGAACAAACACTGTCACTTTACAATGTTACTATATAATATATAATTATGTAGTCACCTTAAATAAAGAGATCAAATATATCAAAATAATATAAAAAATATATATGGTAAAATATTTTTTTCTTAAACTTGTCCGGTTGAACTATATTCGCACAATAACTCAACTAAGATTTGCTAAACAAAACTTATAAAAGAGACGCTTCGCCTTCACAGCGATATTAAAAATAATCACTGAAAGATTATCACTGTATTGTTGCTAGCAAAAAAAGTTGTAAATATAAAAAACAATGATACATAAATGATATGGAAAGAGAAATTAGCATTTGCATGTAAAACACTTAAATACATAAGGTTATATAAAATTTATCTATTCTCTATTTTATTATAAATGAATTAACTAGCCATTTGATAAATACACAATACTTTTAAAATACGAAACTTTATCTGTACCCAACGAAATCAGTACATACAAGATATTTCATATAATAATTCAAATTACTTCTAGTAAGCAAGTGGAGTGGATTAAATTATATAAAAGAGTCCTGTATTTTACGCGATTTTTGCAATAATTAATAAAAAATAATAATTAAAAATTCATGAATAACATACATTAACATGAGAAAACAGTCCAGTGTTGTCTAAAGTCATAATTATAAGAAATATGATAAAATGTTTGAAGAAATTTGTTTTGCAAATAAAAATAATAATTGCGAATAACGTATAACTAGATTATCTCCTTTCATTGCGCACTTATTTTTAAAAGCAAATTTCTTCGCAAATTTCTAATAATTAATTATTCATTAATTATAGCAAAAGTCACAAAATGATAAGGAATTTTTTTATTTGCAATTAAGTTTAACTCGTCGTATCTGCCAACAAAAAAATAGCCCAAAAATTATGAGATATCCTATATATTATAAACATTTATTGTAAATTTATTGTGTTTTAGAAACAATAATACTAATTGAGAATATTTTCTAAGTAAACAGTTGTATAATTTTATTATTATTTCATTGATGAAGACATGTTTAAAAATGTTTTATATAACAACTTCGACAACATTAAAAATTTAAACAATCAACAGTATTAATAAACAATTGGGAAATGAACAAGTATCACAATTCACAATTGGGTAAAGAACAGTATTAATAAACAATCTTGGGAAATGAAATCTTAGACTATCTAATAATTTATTTATTTTTCTAAATTTATTATATGTACATACATACATACACACGCGCGCGCGCGCGCGCGCGTTCAAAAGACACTTGTTTGTCAAGATTGCCTATTAATACATTGTTCAGATACAAAACATATTCTAGGCTCACTGCAGTGAATTATACATAAATGTTGATTCCATTATAATTATATAATATTATTACATTAAAAATATATAATAAAATACTTTAAATTCATCTTATTGAACTAATTTACGCATTAATTTAATTCAAATAAGATTCATAAAGAAAATTTCTAATGAAAGAACTTTTGCATTGATAAGAATTTAAAAAAATTTTTTGAAATATTATTATAACATTTCCATGTAATGTTACAAATGAAATAAATTTTACTGTAAACAACAGATACATACATAAATAATATAAAAATACATAAGATGTCATTATATATCTACATGTAAAACAAATTTAAATATGTATAAGATACACAATATTTTTTTACACGTCTGACTGCAAATAAACTGATAAGTTATTTCTGATAAACATTGTCATTTTAAATAAAACATAAAATAGAATGTTATCTAGAATTATCTAAATTCTGTATCATTATAGAACGAAACGGAATATAGATTGCATAAATATTATTTTTTATTATATTTTTTGTTACATTTATCTACTTAAGTTTTTCAATGTATCATAGTCCTTAACATTGATTGTCTGTTGACCCTTTAGCATAAACTTGAGAGAAGATGATAGGCATACACTACAATAATCAGAATGTGGATAAAGCTTCACATTCTGGTAAATATTGATTTAATTCATTAATTTATTTTTTATTGCTTCGTAATTTCTACAATAATCAGTTATCAATAATCAGTTATTACGATCGAAAATTTTAAGTGTGTTCTCCAGACTGATTTAATATTCCAGACGGAATATCTCCAGACGGATTTAATATTTTGTCATTATCAGGATATAAAATCTTTGTTAAATATTGTACTATGACTTCTTCTTGTTATTCGACACGTGTTAGTTCGTATATTGCAAAACTACTGTTATCTTTCATTTCTATGAATACACAATGTGTAAAATGAAAATTCATGATTGAAATGTGCATGATTGAAATGTACATATACTAAAATAACGAGCTTTGATGGATTTTGATGGAAAAACACATATGTACATATAAACATGCAACATATATTTACACACACACACACACACACACACACACACACACACACACACACACACACAGTCAATATATATATAACAAAAAATTATCTAATTAACTCAAGATAAATAAAGTTGTACAAGTATATATTGGATGCATGGATCGCAATTATTGTAATTGCTTCTCAAGTTAAGCAACAATAGAATATGATTTGTTGGATTAAAAAATAAGATCTAATCATATTCAATTACAACTTAATAATTAGATAAGTAGTTTCAGTTTCCGAAATATTTATTAATAGAATAGAAATCAGAAAATTATTATTTCTAATATAATTGAGTATACGTTTGGCAATAATTATCGCAAAGAGACTTATGCAAGTTTTTATTCCCGCTTCAAAATCGCATTTTAATAATAATTAAACGTACAAATTTTATTACTAAATTAACAAATTATATTTTATTATATCAATAAAACAATATTTTTGTACAATTTCGTAATTCAGTACTTTATCTTTATTTAATTATATAAATAAAGATGTTATAATATTACTGTAACATTAAAAAAAATATATAATAGAAATTTTTGATTTTAAACTTGTTCTACTGAGATGTATTTATGCATTAACCTAACTCAAGACTTAGTCTTAGCTGATGAAAACTGTTATACATTTCACTTTATTTTGATACTATCGAATTATTAAAACTGATCATTAAAAATTAACAAAAATAAATTAATAAATTATTACATCATGTTATTGTTAATAAAGTAAATCATTTTAAAGAATGATAAGAAATATAAAAAACATATGATATATTATATCATATATAGAAAATCCAAATATATGTAAAGCACAATATTTGTTATACATTTGATTGAAAATAAATCAACAAGCTGAAAACATTAATATATTTTTTTAACATAAAATATTATTTATAATTAGAAATTGCAATGAATTACATCATTAAAATTTATTATAATATATTATTTTATTTATTATTTTGATTTTCACAACAATAATAATCTTACAAAATGGATTACAGTCCATTCTAACTTCCTGATTAGAATATTTTGATAAAAGAAAAATTTAGATTATTTCATAACTATGCTTAAATAAACAATAAAAAATTCTGATATCTCAAAAGAAGTTTGTAACTAATCAGCATAGCTTAACATTTGTCTAGCCATTATTTTCAAATCTTTCTTTGAAATTTTTCCTGTACCTTTGTAGGGAAACTTATCTAGAAATATCACTCCTGCACGAAGTTGGCAGTGATCCATCATATTCTTCGCAACAAAGTCTATTAATTCCTGATCAGTCACCTATACATACAAAATAAATTACTTTAAAAGCTAATACAATAAAAAGGATTTTTTAATTTTATGTTAAAATAAAATAATGTATAAACATAATAAAGTGTAGTATTTTAATACTATCTTAATTTAATTTATTATAAGAGTATACATATTGATTTTACATTCAAAATAGTAATAATATTCGATAATAAGTGCTGCTAATAAATTTCTTTTAAAAATAATATAAGAAAGTTTTCGATCTTATTACTATCTCCTTTATTACAATTAAACAATTTTTCAATTAGATTCCAAAACGTTAATAAAAACAGTGTCTGTAGTTTCGTTTTATAATTTTCCTTTCTCTAATCTCTTTCATCTCTTATCGATTTATTATTACTTTAAACTAATTCAGGTATTGTATTGTGATCTTAATCAAATTAATGTGCAAATTGCTTTATTTTTGAATATTTTTAATTGTGCCATGTTTTATGATTTAATTTTTATGTTACATCTTCTCTATAGATATCATATTTAATAGAAATATCAAATATAGGTTTATTATTATTACTATTAATAATTAACCTATTATGTAGAGGACCCTACACAAAAGCAGGTTTTTGGTCTTCTGTGAAATTGGCTGGAATTTTAGTATGTTATACTTTTTGACTTACTGATCAAGTTTCCTTAGACATTAGCTTAAAAATGACTAGTTTTTTTTCTACAGCCATTTAAAATATTGTATTTTATCATTATTCTTGTAACGTTCCAAATTCCAAATCGGTTTTTTACAATAAATCGACTTATTGTAAAAAAACTGATTTGGAACATTACAAGAATAATGATAAAATACAACATTTCAAAAGGCTGTAGTAAAAAAACTAGTCATTTTTTTGTATTCTTTTTATATTTATTACTTTATCATATCTTTAAAGAAAAATAGTACCATTGCGTCAGGTCTTTTAGTAACAAATGCAACAGGATGTTCATCATCTAATTCATAAGGAATCCCTATAACGGCAGTCTCTAGCACTGCTGGATGTGACATTAAGACATCTTCAATTTCTGTAGGTGAGATATGGTTTCCTCTATACTTTATGAGTTCTTTTATCCTATCGACAATGAACAATTCCCCATCTTCATCTACGTAACCAAGATCACCTGAGTGCAACCATCCTGAAAGAATTTCAAATTTATTTTTATGATTTTATAACGCTACGTAAAAAAATTTTTTAATTTAATAAAGTACAGTTTGTTCATTTTACACGCATTAGTTAATTCTTATAACTAAACTTTTTTCCATATAATTATATTATTATTAAGATAGAATATCTCTGTATACCTTCGTCATCGATCATATTTTTTGTCATCTCGGAATTTCTATAATAACCAGTAATCATGAATGGAGATTTTAGACATATTTCTCCAGATTGATTCGGACCAAGTACTTTCCCACTTTCTGGATTCACGATCTTCATTTGCATATTGCTAACTACCGTCCCGCTTGATCCATTTTTGTGATTAGGTAGTTGAAACGTTGCGATACCGCAGATTTCCGTCATTCCTAGATACATAACATATAAGTTTGAAATTCTATATCACATACACATATCAATATATCAACGTATCAATATATATGTTAATGTTTTATAGCATTATTACCATAACCTTGATATATTGCAACATGCGGTAAAATATTTTTCAATTCTTCTTGAACTTTTGATTTAAGTATTGCACCACCAGTTATTATGTATTTTAAAGACGATAATGAATAGTTTTTTATGTAACTCCCTTTGACAAAGCGATTAATCATGCTTGTGATAAGATACAGAATTGTTATCTAGACAATGAAATAATTTATATTTTTTATTCCAATCTATTATGTATAAATATTGTATAAAAATTGTATGCTTATGTAAGACCACCATAATTACGTAACTTTAATAACAATAATAACTTTACCGAAATTCAAAATTGTATTGTAGTTTGCAATTTACCATGCGCCACGCATAAATTAGTGTCCGTATTTTTTGAAAATGTCAACATTTTGTATATGTTGCAATTTATATATCAAAACGAAATAATAACACAATTTTGAAAGAAATATCCGTAAAAACCTTTAGAATATTACTTTAAATTCGAAATTTAATAACAGTTACAAGAATATATATTATTATAAAACGCGAATATTATTATTTTTTTTAGTTATATTTTGCTTTAATTTTAATTATTATATTTAATGTTTATTATATATAACTCACAAGAGAGTCAAAGTTACGATTATTTGTAAAACAAGCTCTAGTAAGATATCCATATAAGCGGGCATTTCAATTTTTATATTTTCTTAAATTGGAAAATTATAACAATTAAAACTTGTTAATTAATATTAACATATAATACCTTATATTTTTCAATTAACCGACAAATCATCTCTTCATCGAATTCTGGGTAGAGTATTATTTTGATGCTGTACACAATTGCACTTATGTTTATCACTAATCCAATTATCCAATAAAGAGGAGAGAACGATAGTAAATTTATATTTTCATTTTCTTGTATTACCTTGTTTTCTTTTATATTTTGGCTAATATATATCATACTGTAGTTGGATATTTCAATGCCTTTCGGCAATCCTGTGATGCCTGTAGTGTGTAAAATACAGGCCGTCTTTTTAATGTCATCAAGTTCTGCATAATGAAAATTTGCCACTTCTGCATCACTGCTATTATTCAGTATATCGGCGAAGGAAATCGCATTGATATGCTTGCCAAAAACCACCACGGTGGAATTGCAGTTTTTCTCTTTTATTGCGCTCAAGATAACGTGTACAGATTTCTCACAGCAGAAAATTATCTTTGGCATGGTCAGATTTAAATGATACAGTGTAGTTTCTAATCATAATTATTTTTTATTAATAAAGAAATAAATCATTTCAAAATTGAATTATTCTTAATTTATCAAACAAATATAATTAGGGAAGTTAAGAATAATAATAATTATCGCAGAGAAACTTACTCAAGTCTAGTTTCTCGTTCCATGTATCGAAAATAGCGTTAATGTAAGCTGCCGAAAGACATGGCACAATAGCGTTCAAGTGATTATGGGTAGATACAGTAATAATGTCATTAGATTTAATTCCTTGTTTTATTAGAAACAACGCGCATCTTACAGCTTTATCGTGAAGTTCTGCGTATGTCATTGTTTCTTCCGTGTGCGCATCCAACTGAACAACATTGTCATTGTTGCAAAAGTTAATCATTTTTGCTCGCTTATTAATAAAGAAAAATTCCGTAATTCTAGATTTAAATTCGATTTTTTACTTAATATTAAAATAAAATTGAATAGTCTGTACAATTACAATATTTTGTAATCAGTTTTTCATGTATTTTGTTAAAATTTTATTTTTTTCTAATTTCTTGTAATATTTAAAAAAAATGTAATATTCCGTTTAATAGTAAATAGTATTTATCAAATTATTTACATAAATAAATATATAAGTAGTATATATAATAGAATATTTTAAAAAGTATGTATTTACTATAATAAATTTTATATATTTTATATATATACTTTATATATATATATTTCATCATATGTCACATAAGTAGATTGATAAAAAAGTGATGTACAATAATAAATTCAATTTCAGTCATCTGTATATTTTAATTATTCTTCTTAATTTAATAATATATTTTTGTTAAATGTTCTTATTTATGTACATTTAATTTTAAATATTTATATATTCTGCTTAAAAAGTTTATGTATTAATGTTATGTATAAACATTTTATGACTTACATAAGCAATTTTGTCTCCGTGTTTTTTAAGGCTGCACCAAATCAATTCTCCGAAACTTTTGTAATTTGCCAAATAATGTTCAAACACTGCTTTCCCTTTGTAAACGCCATTGTCCACAGTAAAATGATCTGAACTTGACTCCTTAAAATCCTAATAAAAATAACAAATAATTACAGTTCCAAATTATTTTAATTATTTTAATTATTATTTACAGTTCTTTTATTTTATAATTATTTTATAATTTGTTAATTTTTTGTCTTGTCCCATGTCTTTAATTTTTGTATTTCTTGTTATTCACATGTTTATGATTTTTTTTAACATTATATCAACTATGACTAAATCAATTATGTATGTTTACTTTGTTACTTGCTTACTTTTGAATCCTCGTTAATCATTTTGCCAAAAATATTTGGAACACAGTATGTCTGATATTCTGAATGCACACTTTATTGTCACTTTCCTATGTTATAAATTATAGTATAAATTATAGTTCTAAATAAACAATCAAAATTAATTATTAAAATAATTACCAAAAATATATATAATAAAATATTTTTTTTAAACAATACATAGATATAGGCTGAGTACATGTTAACTAACAAACTACAACGCGAAACATGGCATTTTTTCGGCAAGCAGGATCTTGGTAGTTGCCTTTAATATGAAATAAATTCAATTAATTATATTACCAACTACGCTGCTTTGGTTTAGCAGACTTTCAATGTAATGGCTCTATAATAATTCGATAATCAATATTATTGATATCGATTAAAATCCCTTTTATCATTCCCCCCCAGAATTCCCTCCCAGAAATATATATTGCGAAAAATATCACCTTAGCCAGGGATCGCCTGCTGCAGTAATTTTTTTTTAATTTATTCTATTGAACTGTCTTTACACTCTAATTGTACTTAACTAAGATTTGCGTTCAAGAAAACTTATAAAAGAAATGTTTAATCTCTAGCAAATCAATCAAATAGTAATCATTAAGATATTATCACTACATACTGTTGCCAATAAATTAAATTATTATAATACCTAATATTGCTAAATAAATAACGTAAAAAAAAATGAGACGTTAGCACATTTACATTTAAAGCATTTAGATATGTTAAAGGTGCAGTATATTTTATTACAAATAAACTGAAACTATTTGGTAAACATTGTTTTTTGAAACACAAAATTTTCTGTATATTCAATGAAATCACAATACAAATACACACATACACACATACACACACACACACACACACACACACACACACAAAGTATTTCATGTTATATGCAAATTTTTAATAAGCTAATTGAAATATAATAGGTTAAATTATGTAAAAATTATGTAAAATGTTTTGGACGTAACTTTGTTATAAGAAATAAATAAGAAACAAAAATTCATGAATATATATCAGCACAAGAATACAGTGTTCAGTGTTACGCACAGTCATAATCATAAGAAATGTTGAAAAATGTTTGAAGAAGTGTTTTACAAATTGAAATAGCAAATCGCAATTGCAAATTATCATAACGCTGGATTACCTCCTCTTTTTGCGCAGTTGTTTTTAATTTTTACTGTTAAAAGTTCGACTTTCTTCGTTAATTCTGATTAATTAATTGTTTATTAATTGTTACAAAAATTGCACAATGGTAATAAATTTTTTCTATTTATAATTAAATTTAACTTTTTTTATTTACTTTAAAAGTTGATCCGAGAATTACAAGATACTTTGTAACGCTACGTCAAAAACATTTATTGTAAATTTATCGTATTCCAAAAGTTAAGCGATAATACTAATTAAGAAATACATGTCTCATTATTTTATTTTAATTAGAATATCTACATGAAATGTGAGGGTATTCTCCTGATACAGAATTGTCGGGAGAAAACTCCACACAGTATGTAGGCGAAATTAATTAAATTATGATTTACTGTCGTTTATTATAAAGATTACAAAGAACTATCGACTTTACTCCAATTTTACTCGTCACTCGCTAGTATGTAGTAATATTCGATTCTCCGTTTCGTCCGTTTGTTCACTTTTCTTAGCCTGCTTGACTTTTGTCTTGGACGGCTTATCGTATCAAACTTATCTATCGAAAGCTCGTGAATTTCATAGTACCACAGACTTATACCCCACTTAGAGATACCGAAAGGTATACGAATAATTGTGTACCCGAACATCGAATGATGTCTCCAAGTCAATCACGACATAGATAAGTACAAACTCAGTCATTACTATTTCGGAATTTTTCTATGCTTTCTTATCGATTATAACACGAAATTTCTCGAAGAATTCAATATGTCGTCAATAATGAAAATATGCCTACAGAGAAAAAAAGATCTTTTGTTTTATCATAATCTATGTTTAAATAAACAAAAATATGTAGATATTTCAAAGAGTTTCGATTAACACTAAACTTACAACGACTGGTCAAATGATCGTTTTCAAATTTTGTTTAAAAATTCCTGTATTCAACGTTATCTTTTATTTTTTATTTTCTGTTTATGTTTATAATTAAAATTAAAAAATAAACTTGTTTTATTTGTATCCAAAGGTTGTTTTTTAAACCAGTACAAAATTGATTATTATTTGCATTCAATTATAAAGAATATAACTTTTTCTTAAAGCCCAGTCATTTGTCTAGTTATAATATAGGTATACATATTGTTGGTACAAATTGTTGGTACAAATTTAATGTTAATATATATCTGATTTGACAAAATGTATTTGTCTGAGCTCTTTTATATCTAACAATTCCCATTTCGGATTTTTGATAATACAACTATTATTGATGTAAAATATAAATTTTTATTAAATTATCTTCCAAATTTTGCTTATGTATGATATTTTTTAAATATGTAGTTTTATAATTCTGTTTTATCATTTTATTAATCAATTAATCAAATGTTTAAAAATATTTTATATTATATATAACAATATATAATAATTTCCATAATATTAAAAATTAAAACAACCGATAGTACTAATAAGCAATCTCAGCAGACGGAATTTTAGATGTCTAATAATCTATTTGTTTTTTAAAATTTATATATAGATATAAATTCAAGATAAAAAAATATTTATGTCATGAACCATATGTTTTTATTTTTAAGAATCTTCCAATGCAACAACTCAAAGCCAAAGCAAAAATTTCTCCTTTAAATTATCAACCAAATTCAATACCTATTATTTTCTTTTTCCACGAAAAATTTATATCATCTTAATCAAGATAAAAAGATATTTTGAACCTAGAATCTGATTATCTGAATATCTACCAATTCGATCATTGAGGCATGTCGTGATGTTTATCGCAATAATCAAATATCAAATAACAAAAACGATTTTTCAATTGATATAAAAAATATAAGAGTATACATACAAATTTAAAAAAATAAATAAATAGATTAGACTTAAAATCCCGTTTGTCAAGATTATCAATTAATACAATCGACTGCTTGAACATATTCTGAGCTTATTGCAGTTAATTATATTTAAATGTTGATTCCACTATGATCATATAATATAATACTGTAACATTAAAAAAATATATGTTATAAAATACTTCAAATTCATCTTATTGAATTATATTTCTGCATTAATTTAACTCAAACTTATAATAAAGGAAACTTTTAATAAAAGAGCTTTGCGTTAATAACAACTTTAAACTTAATTTCTGAGAGAACATCATAACATCCTGTGACGTTACATGTGGAATAAATTTTACTGTAAACAACAAGTACATACAGAATATAAAAAAACATGAGATGTTATCGTATATTTAAATATTATCGCAAAACAAATTTAAATATGTAAATAATATACAACATCTTTTTACATGCCTGATTGCAAATAATCTGATAAGCTCTCTAATCTGATAATCTCTAATGAAGATTTTTTTTTTAATGTGAAATAAATAATAGAAAAATAAAATATAAAATAGAAAATATTAAATAAATTCCGAATCATATTAGAACAAAACAGAATCACTATATGTACATTCATATCATAAACGTTAATTATAAACTTAGCATCTTTAACTACATGACAATAATAATCGAATTATGATTTATACTCACTTCCTAATCGAATTATCCCGATAAAAAAAGACATTTTCAACTTTCTCATAACTATGTTTCAATATCTTTAAATATAATATAATATAATAAATATGTTTAAATAAGCAAAAAGATATTTTAATCTAATAAACACAAAGTAATAGTACATAACATTATACATTAAGATATGTTATAATTTGCTAAATAATGTTCAAATACTGTTTTTCTTTTGTAAATGCCATTGTCCAGTAAAATAATTTGAAATTGATATAAAATGAAAATAATTGTCAAATACCAAATATCAAATAATCCTATAAAATTATCTATAAAAATACCAAATAATCCAAAATACCAAAATAATAATATAAAATACCAAATAATAATATAAAATTCTGAAAATACCAAATAATTAATGTGCTAACTACAATTATTTTATAATTTGTTAACTTTTTATCTAATTTTGTGTTTTATGTCTTTAATATTTCTTGTTATTCATATGTTTATGACTTTTTTAAATATTATATGATTAGATCAATTATATATATTTACTTTGTCAGTTGCTTGAATCCTCATTAACTATTTTGTCAAAAATATTCGGAATCCAGTATGACTGATATCCTGAATGCACACTTTATTGTCACTTTTCTATATTATAAAGTGTAGTCCTAAATAGGCGATCAAAATTAATTATTAAAATAATACCAAAAATACATATAATAAAATATTTTTTTTTAATTTGTCCTATTGAACTATGTTTACACTCTAATTGTACTTAACTAAGATTTGCACTTAAAGAAACTTATAAAGAAACGCTTCATCTTGACAGCGTTACTAAAAAACTAATCATTAAAGGATTATCACTTTATGTTGTTGCTAATAAATTATATTGTAATACATAATAATGCTACATAAATATGTTACATAAAAATGCTATATAATAGAAAAGAATGAGAAGTTAGCACATTTATATTTAAAGCATTTAAATATGTTAAAGTTAAAGATGACAAACATTATCTTTTGAAATACAAAAATTTATTATTTATATATCTAATATTAATTATTTATATATCTAATACATATATAAGATATGTATTTCATGTTTTATGAGGATTACTTCTAGCAAAATAATTGAATAAGTTAAATTATACAAAAATGTCTTGTATTCGAAGCAACTCTTACTATAATTAATAGAAAAATAATAATTCATAAAAATTTACGAATAAGTGTACATTGGCATAAAAAAACAGTTCCATATTACGCAGTTATAATCATAACAAACATTGCAAAATGTTTGAAAAACTATTTTACAAATAGAAATAGCAATTGCGAATAATTCATAAGACTGGATTATTTTTTTCTTACTGCGCACTTATTTTTATTTTTTCGCTATAGCTTTTATATTTTTGCTTAGATACAATCTTCTTTATTAATTCTGATTAATTAATTATTTTATTATTAATTAATTATTAATTATTACAAAAATTACAAAATAATAAATTCTTTTATTTTTAATTAAATTTAATTTAATTCTCTGTATCTGCCAATGAAAGTCAATGAGTCGGAAATTATAAAATATTCTGTCTATTACATTAAAAACATTTATTATAAATTTATCGTGTCCTAAAAGTCAAGCGATGATATTAATCGAGAAATATATGGCTTATTGTTTTATTTAAATTAGAGCGTATTATAGCAAGAAAGAGAAACTTTAGATTTTCTCGTTTCTATGTTTAAATAGACAAAAATACGCGGATACTTCAAAAAGTTATGATTAAGGCTACGATCAATGTAACACTACAAAATTCAGTGTTTGATTGTTCAATCAAAACAAACAATTTTACTAATGCACATTATATATATATATATATATATATATAGTATCGTTATGCCCGTGCCTGTTTGGAGCGCGCTAAATCGAATAAGCGATATGAAGAAGTCGCGTAGCATGTTTCTCGGTGAACCAATGAATGTTTTGTCTAATGTCGATTATTAAGATTCTGAGGACAACCGACACGGACGTGCTCTGTAACGCTCTGTGTATTTCTAGGAGAGTAATAAAGAGAGTGTGTGAGTTCTTTTATTAGGAGGTCTTATTTATTACTGCGCGCGTACGAGTGTGTGAAGTTCAATTCTGTTCCCCAGACGTAACAATATATATCTTTTCATCTTGAATTTATATATACATATATGTACAATATATTCAAGCTGAAAAGATATGTCATCAATCACATGCTTTTATTTTTAACGGTCTTATGTAGCAATTTAAATATCATCTCAGTCAGAATGAAAAGATATTTTTGAACCTAGGATCTTCTGATTATCCCTATATCGAATATTTTCCAATTCGATTATCGAGACATGTAGTGATGTTTATCGTAATAATTAAATAACAAAATAATAAAAATGATTTTTCAATCAATACCAAAATGTAAGAATATATATATAAATTTTAAAAAATAAATAAATAAATTATTAGACGTTTAAAATACTATTTGCTAAGATTGCCAATTAATACAATCGATTGTTTGAATACATTTGAACATATTTCGTGCTTATTGCAATTAATTATACATTAATTATACATAAATGTTGATTTTACTATAATCATGTAAAGTACAATATTTTTTTATATCTGATTAAAAATAAATAAATAAAAAGTTGAAAACTTTTGTATTTTTAAGCCTAAAATATTATCTACATCATAAGTTATTATATTATACAGAAAGTTCAAATATGTATAAAGTGCACAATATTACATATCTGATTAAAAATAAATCAACAAATTGATAAATTTTAGACTTAAACTTTATTAACGTATATTATTTATAGTTACAAATACAACAGATTATGTCATTTATGTTTATTATAATTTATTATTTTATTTATTATTTTGATTCTCACAACAATAATAATTTTATAAATGATTTTATAATCATAAAATGAATTACAGCCCATTTTTACTTCTTAATTAGAATATTTTGATAAAAGAAAAATTTAGATTATTTTACAAATATGCTTAAATAGACAAAAAATTCTGATATCTCAAAAGAAGTTTATAATTAATATATTTATTATATGGATAAGATATGCTTCCACCACATTAACAATTTGCAGTTTTATTATAATAATTTGTCAATAGACATTATCAGTCTATTCAATAAAAACTTAAGTTTTTATTGAATGTTCCAAATTCTTATATCTAATATAATATGTAATAAAATAAAATATAATATAATGTAATATAATATAATATAATATAATATATTAGCTAAAAAAAGAATTATACAATTTTGTTATTATTGATCTTATCAGGTACTTATAATAATTTTTAAAATTTCGAAAATATCATCAAAATGATTTTCAGAAATTGCTTTTAAGAATAGGTTTATTCTCAAGTAAATTATATATCCTTTTATTAGAATTTTATTATAAGAAAAAAATGACAAATAACAAAAATATCAATTTTTTAAATAAAAAAAAGTTAATCTGTTTCATTTATAATATTTATAATATTTACTACTTGAAAAAGAATTAGACAATTATGTGTATGTGTGTGTGTGTGTGTGTGTGTGTGTGTGTGTGTGTGTGTGTGTGTGTGTGTGTATATTGAAAAATTGTTACATATTAAAAATAAATTTTGCGTTATCGAAAATATCTAGAATTAATCAATATTTAACATTTGTTTAACTATTACTTTCAAATCTTTCCTCGCAATTTTTCCTGAACCTGTATATGGAAACTTTTCCAGAAATATTACTCCACCACGAAGTTTGCAGTGATCCATCATATTCTTCGCTACATGGTCTATTAATTCTTGTTTAGTCACCTATACAAATTAAACTATTAAAATATATACAAATTAAATTACTTTAAAAAAAGTTAATACAATAAAAAGTATTTTTTATGTTATAAAATGTTATAAAATAATGTATAAACATAATAAAATATAGTGTTTGATTAATACTATCCTATTTCAATTTGCCATAAGAGTATACATTGGTTTTATATTTAAAATAACAAAAATATTCGATAATAAGATGCTGCTAATAAATTTCTTTTAAAAAATAATATAAGAAAGTTTTTGATTTTATTACTATCAACTTTATGACTACTATTACAACTAAAACGATTTTTCAATTAGAATCCAAAGCGCTGATTAAAACAGTGTCTGTACTTTTGTTTTATAATTTTTCTTTCTCTAATCTCTTTCGTCTCTTATCGATTTATTATTATTCTAAACTAATTCAGGTATTGTGATCTTAATCAAATTAATATGCAAATTGTTTTATTTTTAAATATTTTTAATCGTGCTATGTTATATGACTTAATTTTTATGTTACATCTTTATCTCTATAGATATAATTTTTAGAAATATCAAAGACCGGTTTATAATTATTTCTATTAATAACTAATATTATTATTATGTAAATTCTTATATTTTATGACTTTATTATATCTTTAAAGAAAAATAGTACCATAGCATCAGGTTTTTTAGTAACAAGTGCAACAGGATGTTCATCATCTAATTCATGAGGAATCCCTATAACTGCAGTCTCTAGCACTGCTGGATGTGACATTAAGACATCCTCAATTTCTGCAGGTGAGATTTGGTTTCCTCTGTACTTTATGAGTTCTTTTATCCTATCGACAATGAACAATTCCCCATCTTCATCTACGTAACCAACATCACCCGAGTGCAACCATCCTGAAAGAATTTCAAATTTATTTTCATTTTATAAATCTGCGTAAAAAGTTTTTTTAATCCAATACAGAAATACAGTTTGGTTATATTACACGCACTAATTAATTCTTATAATTAAATTTTATCAATATAATTATACTATTATTATATAGAATATCTTCAGTATACCTTCATCATCAATCGTATTTTTCGTCGCCTCAGGATTTCTATAATAACCAGTCATTACTACTAGAGATTTTATCCATATTTCTCCAGTTTGATTCGGGCCAAGTACTTTTCCACTTTCTGGATCTACAATTTTTATTTGCACATTTTCGACTACTGTCCCGCATGATCCATTTTTATGATGCGCTAATTGAAATGTTACGAGACCGGTGACTTCCGTCATTCCTAGAAATATTATATATAAGTTCGAAATTCTATATCATATGCATATATATATATATAAAATATACATATAATATATATTAATAGTATTTCATCGTATTACCATAACCTTGCCACATAGTAACATGTGGTAAAATATTTTTTAATTCTTCCTGTACTTTTGGTTTAAGAACTGCACCAGTAAGCACTATGTCCTTTAAAGTCGATAATGAATATTTCTTTATATAACTCGCTTTCACAAGTCGATTAGTCATGCTTGTGCTAAGAAAAATAGTTGTTACCTAGAATAAAATAAGTTAAATCTTTAAATTTCAGTATACTATATTCAAATATGTTATAATATCAAGTATATGCATATATAAGAACGCAAATTATATTACAATTATTAATAATTAATTATTAATAATTGTTTGTTTAATAATTATTAATTATTAATACAAATTATATTACAATTTTTAATAATAATAATAATAATAATAATAATAATAAGAATAATAACTTTTTTTGAAGTTTAAAATTGTATTGTGCTTTTCATGCATCAATGAATATTAGTTATAAATCAATATTAATTACCAACGTTTCGTAAATATTGTAATTTATTTTATCAGAGAGAGTATAATTACAACATAATTTTGAGAGAAATTTCTGTAAAAGTTTCAAGAATATAACTTTATTGAAGTTTAATAATATTTTCAGGAATAGATATTGTGATATGCGAATATATGATATTATTTTTAATTACATTTTGTTCTTATTATTATTATGCTGATTATTATTGCAAATATATTAATATATAATTTGCGAGAGAGCTAAATTGTTTATTACAATTTTTAAATACAATTATTACAATTGTTTATTACAATTATTTATAAAATAAGCTCTAGCAAGATATACATAGATATACAAGATATACATAAGATGTACATAAGCAGACATATTTCAATCGTTATTTTTTTTTAAATTAGAAGATTTTAAGAATTAAAAATTGTCAATTTTAAACATTTGATAAAGCTTCTTATAAATAAAATAAGAAATTAAATTTGCTAAATAATATTACTTTGTATTTCTCAATTAATCGGCAAGTCATTTCCTCGTCAAATTCTGGATAGAGAATTACTTTAGAGCTCTGTACAATCGCAAACATGTTCATTATCACTCCACTCAGCCAACAAAGAGAAGAAAACCATAGCGATGGTGAATTGGACATGTTTATCACTTTTTTCCCGCTAACAAGTATCATATTATAATTGGATATTTCGGTAGCTTTCGGTAATCCCAAAGTGCCTGAGGAGTGCAGAATACACGCCGTTTTTTTGATATCGTCAAGTTTTACGTAATGAAAATTTGCCACTTCTGCATCAGTGCCAGTCCTCAAGATATCGGAGAATGAAATCGCGTTGATATGCTTGCCAAAAACTACCACCATGGAATTGCAATTTCTCTCTTTTATTGCGCTTAAGACAATATGCACGGATTTCTCACTACAGAAAATTATTTTCGGCATAGTCAGATCCAAATAGTATAATGTAGTTTCTATTGACAATGATTTTATTATTAATAAAAAATAAATATTTACATAGAAAATAAATTATTCTTAATTTATTAGTATATTCGAATACAATAGGACAATATGATAATAATTATCGCAGAGGAAACTTACGCAAGTTCATATTCTCGTTCCATGTATTAAAAATTGCATTGATATAAGCCGCAGAGAGGCAGGGCACAATAGAGTTCATATGATTTCCTGTGCATAGAGTAATGATATCATCTGCTTTAATTCCATGTTTTTGCAGCCACAACGCACATCTTACAACTTTATCTTGTAGTTCCGTATATGTAGTTGTTTCTTCTGTGCATGCGTCTACCTATATTAATATTTTAATTAAATGTTTAATTTAAACATTTTAAAATCACAAATAATTTTTTATTTTATTATAGCATTATTATTGTTACGGAATGAATAAATATTAAATATAATTAATGAAACGTTTATGTATAACGTATAAATAAAATCTAAAATTTATTTCTTAATAATATTAAACAAACAAAATTAAATAAAATATAAATTTTTATTACTGCAATTTTTTATTAAATAGATTTTTAATATATATAATAAATTTGATGGTATTTTTGTATGGTATTTTTTACAAAGTAACTTTTTTATTTATATCATGATATATTGTACAAATAACAGTCTTAAGATATTTATAGTTCTATTTAATAATTATATTATTTATTAAATAAAATTTGAAACAAGAGAATCTTATAATGTTTGTTGATAATATTAAAAATAAGTAATATAAGTTATTGATTATATTAAAATTTTGCAATTATTTTGAAATCATAATTTTCTTTTTAACGATTGTCTTTAATTTTAATTTTGTTTATATATTATTCTAAATATATTATACTATTGTTCTACATTATGTAAGTAACTATTATGGAAAAGACATAGACTGTTTTTTATGGAAAAGGCATAGACTGTTTTTTTATACGTATAACTATTGGTATTTTATAATTATCAGAATCTGCATCACAGAAAATTACTTTACATCTAATTTGAATTTAATATCATCAATGAATTTGTTAATTTTGTTTTAATTATTAACTAATTTTTTATATTTTTTCCTATTAAACATATTCAATCATCTTTATTTCATATCTGCTTAGACATCTTTAATAAAATATAATTTGATCTTATTATTAGTAGACAGTGCATGAAAATTTCTAGAATATATTCTTATATTTCTTCTTATTTATATAAATAATAAAAAGTTTTAAATAATTATATTTTGTCTCTAGAAAGTATTATATATTAGCATCATATAAAAATGACTTACATGTGCAATTTTATCTCCATTTTTTTTAATGTTAAACCAAATCATTTCTCCAAGACTTTTATAGTTACCTATATCGAGATTTACTGGTCCTTTATAAATACCATTTTCTACCGTAAAATTCTGTAAACGATAATTGCTATATTTGTTACAATATTTTTGCATTTTAAATTCTTAATTGCTCTAATATCAATTGCATCAAATAATCTTTATCATATGAAAAGATCTATTAGGTATACCTTTTGCACTTACTTTTGAAATATTCTTCATCATTTTGCTAAAAATATTCTAGTTGCAAATGTAAGGCCCAATAATATCAATCTACAATATTATTATGTAATAAGTAAATATGCAATGAGTATGTTATCATTAAAATGAGTAAATCAGCTGTTCACCCAATTATCGAAGTGATAAAAAAATTATGAGATTTTTAATCAAAATAAATTGAAATTAATGTCGCTTTTTATTGTTAATTTTTTATTTTAGCAAGAAAAATATTCGCTAACATAGTATATAAAATAAATCATAATTATGGCCATAAAATATATATAAAAATTATATATCTCACTTGCTGATAATAAATTACTCTGCAAATTATTTAGTTGCACAATCTGTTTTTGATCATATAATTATTAATTATATACATATATGTTGTATAATATATATAACTAATAATGTGTAATGTATAATGTATAATAATTAGATTTTCGATAAATTTCGTTGTAGCTATATTATAATAGAATATATAAAAATTATTTAGCAAAGAAAATGTTGTAATAATAATTTGGCACAATTTTAACAATTTGGCACATATTTTTTATGTAAAGTTTCATAATATTACACGCATGATTTCGGTTGCTAAGCAGCGGTAGGGAGATGGTAATATCATCTCAGAAATTGGTCCAATGCTAATTCTGAACACTGCTATAAATAATGGGTAATAATATTGGATAATATTTAGCAGGCAGAATTTCAAGTATCTAACAATCTATTTTCTTATTTTTTAAATTCATGTATATGAAAAATAGATTATTATTAGAGTATATATATATATATATATATATATATATATAAATACATTTCAAAATAAGATGTATATCTCGTATCTCAAACTACGTGCCATCTTTTTAACAAACTTGTAACATAACATCTTAAAAAGCCTCATCAATCCCTCATCCAAAAGTTAAATCCTCTTTAATAAAATTGACAATAAAAAGGGAAGATAAAAATATTTGACAATAGTCAATAGTAAACAAAGTTTGCATTATAAAAAATAATTATTAGAAAGCTATCATTATATATTATTTTTAGATAAAGTAAACAATAATAGAGATATCAACAAAGGTACAACAGAATATCATTTATGTATAAAAAAAATTTAATCGTATATAAAATGCATACCTTTTGTTAAGATATCAACGTATCTAATACATTAACGTTAAAAAAGAAGTTCAAATTTGAATAAAATTTAATAACAATTGCAACAAAGAAAAAAAACTGTGTCTTGAAAATAGAAGTGTGAATTAAAAATTATCTTTTCTGATGAACATTTAACACACTTTTAACACATAAATGAAAAGTGATGCATTTGTGACTGTTGATCAAACCAGACTGCCAGCAGTTTAAAGTCTGACTGTAATGTATCGCGTATATATCTTTAAATAGATGCGCTATCTCTATCTTTTCAATTATATAAATGACTTAAAGCTTAAACCAGTACATTATTGTTGTTATATTTATCATTCAGCATTTCTTGATCTTAAAGACAAGGTAAAGAAGATGATTGTCAAAATTAAAAACGGTTTTTCTTATTATATTTTATTATATTGTACTTGGTGTTTTGAAATTTAATAAAAATCTTATTACATGTTATTTTCTGTTTTATAAATTTATATTAATTATTATTGATATTTAATTTAAATATTTCTTTAAATATTTCTTTAACTAATATAAAAATTCAAATTTTGTTGATATTTGGAAAAAATATATAGTTATATAAAAAATATATAGTTATATAAAAATATTAATAAAAATTAAAATATTTCTTTATATTTCTAAAAATTGATTCTTAAAAAGATCTAAATAGATTTTTAATAATAATAATCTTATAATTTGAACATTAAATAAATAAATGTGTGTGCGTGTGTGTGCGTGCGCGCAAGACAATACATAAAGAAAAATCATTTTCATCACGTTAATACATTTTATACGAAATATCTAATTAAAATGTACATTTCAAAATTGTAATGCGTACATTGCAAAATGTAATTCATCTTGCGAAACATGACAGATAGTTTAAAACACACATTTTAACGATAAGAACAAATGTACATAAGATAATAGCAATATAATTTCATTCTGATTATCAAGTATTAATGTACAACGTATGTAAGTGTGTATAATAAATATTATATCTTAATTAATCATTAATCGCTTTATTGATTTATATCTTCACGAATTATATTAATGTTATGTCTTGTTTCAAACAATATAAATAATTGTGTTAAATAACTGTTACACTCTTCTTTTTAATTATTGATTATAATAAAATAAACAGTAACATATTATAAAATACATTGTATAAGAAAAGTTATATATAATTTACTTTGATATTGATATATTTTATATACTGCTTATTAATCCCTATTTCTATTCACTGCACTGGAATGTAACAGAACAAAAGAAGAATCAAAATAATTATAATCAAAAATAATCTTTTTCCTTTTTATAATTAATATTGTATTAAACATTAAATAAAGTGACAGAAAATATTCTGTGTATAAATTACAATAATTGTATATAAATTAAAATATTTGTTAAATATCTTTAATAATTTATTATAAAACTATATACTATTTTATGTAAGTTTACAGTTCTTGGTTATTTATATCAACCTTTACAAAACATAATCATAAAAATATGATTGTATTGTATAATTTGTAAAATTTATTTTTAAGATTAGATTTATTTCTAAAACATTGTTTATTGCAAAAAGCATATTATAACATTCAATCCCAAAAAAGATTATTAATATAAGACTCTTTTGACAATCATATCTTATTTTTGCTGCTCTTATAACTGAAATAACCTTGAACTATAATGATGGCAGATGAATTATAGCTACAGTGAAGAAAATCGATTAATCATACTGCAACATACATACATACATACTATAACAGTCCGTCTGGATATGTCATGTATGGTCGAGTGATAAAAAAAGGATATAAAATCTGTTATCTTCTTTTTTCTTGACTTACAATATGTTACAGTGGCTGCCTTCCGATATTCACTGCCAACACTGAAAATATACAGTTCAGTTACGTATATTATAGCTTTTCAGGACTGGTAGTGAATAGCGGAAAGGAGCCAGTCATAGCTCGAGAAAGAAGAAGACAGCAGATGTCGTGTTCTTTTTTTATTACTCAGAGTTGGCCGAAGTATGGAGCGTACAGGACTGTAAGATCATGCTAGTACATGGGACTAACTTATTCTCTCCACATATACATATATATATATATATATATATATATATATATATATGTCTTGAGTAAGATATTCAAAGATATTCCGACAAAAAAAAGTGATTTTGAATTACATTGATATAATAATAAAAAATGAAATATTATTACATGTAAGTTATAATAATTTTAAAAATTTTTGATAATTAATATTTGATATTTACAAGATATATTTTTCTGAAATCTCATATTTGTAACACTTTTACAAAATCTATAAATTTATTGTAAAATAATGTTCAATACAGATATTATCAATATAAAACAAAATTTATTAAATAATTTATTTTAAGTTTTATTTGTTACATATTTATCACTTATTAAATAAATAATTATGCAGTTCTATTTTCACTACATTAATCAAATATTTTTCTCCGTGGATGAATTTAAAATTAATTATTTTAGCAATATAATTCAATTATAACTTTTTCGGATTATGGATTTCATAATTATTGAGACAACAATATAAAAAAGTTTTACGCAACTGAAATTTTAGAGACAAAAAAAAGATAATGTAGCATATGTACATTTAAAATATATTTTATGTACAATATATTTGTTACATTTTGAGGTTTTATATTATCGATATTTCATGAATATGGAATAGAATCACAAAATTGTAGACATAGTACAGAATAAAATCAGAAAATCGTGGCCGTAGTACGGAACACAACCAGAAAATCATGGATATGGCTGCGTTATCTTATAGTTCGTGGACATGGTCACGTAGTTTCAATGTGCATAGTGTATTGTGACATGTAGCGCATCGTCTAACAATTATACATTTGATATTACTTATATCAAAACGGCAGCTGTGACATTTTTGAACTTCTCTTTCGTCGCACGCTACGGAAAGATAGTGACAGGTTTATAATGAGTGCTCCGAAATAAAAGATATTTTGGAAAGAAGTTTCCGGAATAAAAAAGATTCCGAAATCAAAATAAAAACGATCAGAATATAGAAGAAAGATAAAGGAAGCAGACCGAGAAACGAAGCATAGGAGCAGGAGCTTTGTACCGAAGAAGTAAAGCAGATAAAACTCGTTATATTTCAAGGAAAACAAGGTACACGTGGCAACTCTTATCTTATTAGACAAGTGAAGGCTTTCAAATAGTTAAATTAATTGCTCGAGGATAAAGAAGGATAAAGAATATTGTTTAATGTGCACTATCTTATTGAATAAATGTCTTGCGAAAAAGACATATAAGATAATATAGATGTCTATCATGAATCGAGATTCTAGCGAATATCCAATTAATATGTAAACACCAATTAATATGTAATTGTTAATTACTGTCAAATCCTATCCTCTCGCCAATTTTCAATTTTTCATTTCTCATTTTTTTTATTCTGTTTTATTATTCATACCGGACAGCATTTTATACTATAATCGAGTTAAAAGAAAATTTAAATGTTCCGCAAATTATCACGAGAACATGTTACGTAATCAATATTTTTATATTGATTGTTTGTTCTCTTTTAGCATTAATTCATTAGGAAAGCAAATTATCATATTAGTTTGATGTATAAAATTTAATACGCAATTCAAGTTATTTCGATTAATTAAAACCTTTTTTCCCATCTAACTCCTACATAGCTTTTCTCATCTACTTTCCACATAGTTTTTCCCATCTAGTTCCCACATAGTTTTTCCCATATAACCACCACATAATTTTTCCCATCTAGCCCTCACTTAGATTTTCCCATATACTTCCCATCTAGTTTTTCTCATATACTTCCCATCTAGTTTTTCCCATATACTTCTCATCTAATTTTTCCCATATACTTTCCATCTAGTTTTTCCCATGTACTTCCCATCTAGTTTTTCCCATATACTTCTCATCTAGTTTTGCTTATATACTTCCTATCAAATTCTTCCCATATACTTCCCAACTAGTGCCCACCTAGTTTTTCCAATATTCTTTCCATTTAGTTTTTCCCGTATACTTCCTATCTAGTTTTCCCCATATACTTCCCATTTAGTTTTTCTCATATACTTCCCATCTACATTTTCCCATATACTTTCTATCTAGTTTTTCCCATGTACTTCCCATCTAGTTTTTCCCATATACTTCTCCGTTTAACAATATAATTGTTATATAATTATTAAGTTATATTCAACAGTAGAACTATTATAAAACTATTATTAAGTTATATAATAGATTATTATATAATTATTAAATTACATTATTGAACGAGAAATTATAACAGTTACGTTACATGCCAGTTAATGTTTACTGGGTACTTTGAAGAACTTACTTGAAATAATTCTACTATATAGACAGAAACGAAATATCACCATTTTCTGAGTATTATTTTAATGTATATAATATTTTAATGTATATAATAAAATATCTATTTTTAAATATTTTTCTTCACGATAAATATATATATATATATATACACTATTTTG